TTAGTCTAAATACAACTGATTAGAAGCTTTGCAGTTTCTAAAGGCCTGAGAGTACTCAGAAGTTGCTGCTAAATGCTACTTTGAAAGTATGAAGCTAGATGCTGATTTCTTTGGTCTGATTCATGAAGTCAGCCGTGTCAGAGCACAACAGAAACCATAATACATTTAACTACAACCACGAGTTATACCCATCTACAACCAAAGTCTTCATAATGAGCACTGAGGCCCAGATTCAGTAAAACATAAATTGTCTATTTGTTTCCTGAATGTATTTGGCCTTAAGAATAGTTCTAATTTACTTGTGAATTGGACCTGGGTGAGCACCATCAAGAAGTAAAACAAAGCTTGCAATACTCTTTATCAAGGAGGTGGTCGTATTATTTCCTTTTACGTATTGCATTTTACATTTGCTTTTACTTACTACAAAGTTTATTTTCACAGATGTCCTCTTTTTCACAAGTACTGCATGAACTTCCTTCTAGATATGGTTGTCTTGGAGAACCAACACTACAAAGGAAAAAGTTTTGTACATAATGATTTCAAATGATTTGTTAAATATCTTGTTTTTTGAAGTAGATACATTGAAAATACCATAAATTACAGACAAATCTTTAAAAAACATCAGAATAATTTTCCTCTTTTCATTTACATTTTTCTGTGCCTGTGAAAGAAAGGAATCTTAAAAAGCTGTTACTCTTCTAATGAGAAAATAGGCTTTTTTAAAAGTTTTCGATTGGTATATGACCTATTAAAACGTAATGTTCTGGATGAAGCTGGTTTTAACTGAGCAAAAAGGACGATTTTAGAGCAGAAAATGTTAAAGCTGACATACTCCAAAGATCTGAAAACAAACTACATAGCAAAAAAAAAAATCTCGTGAGCAACTTACTGTTGGACTACAACCTTGAGAAACAAGACCTTCATTTCACAAAATGCAAATCTCTGAGAGCAAGTATGCAGTCTTAGTGAACACAGCGGGATCCTCACATGTTTAAGTACTTCAGCCAAGCTGAGACAAAGCATAAAGATCAGTCTACAGTACTTATCACTGTACATTCTCAGAAAGGCTTCTTATATATGTAATTGCTGAAAATGATAATGCAGGTATCATCATCCTGGCTGCCTATACTATACCACAAAGTAACAGAAAACACAGTTTCCAGTCTATGCTGCATCCACTCAGGACCAACGTTACGTTTCACAGCCTAATCCTGGCCACACAGGGGCAGATTTATGCCCCATGAAGGACTATGGGCTATTAGGTTTGTTTGTCACTCTACTCACTTCCATAGCTGGCACTCCTGAAAGGAGGTAATTTGCACCAAGAGCTCTGATTTTTTTTCAGCATTCTAGGTCTGTATTTACACACTTTATCATATATATATATAAACAAGAGCTACACACCAGACATAGGATCACACAGTCATAGAACTGGAAGGGACCTTTAAAGGTCATCTAGTCCAACTGTCTTGTACATAGAGATGTAAGGGTAGGCATAACATTGTTGTACAAGATGAAGGTAGAAGAATACCCTAAAACATGACCTGTGACTCACTTGCTACTATTCTTCTTTGAAATGCTTTTTGCATAGATTTGCCTGAAGGTATATTGTTAATCTGAGTTTTTTTTCCAGCAGGATCTCCGGTGTCATATTGCAACCACTTTCCCTGGCATGCAGTTCAGGCAAGAATAAAATTGAATGGAGATCTTTTGATCCCAAGAACCAAATGTAAGTTCAGTTACAAGCATAATGGCTCATTAAGGGTGTGAAAGTAGACCCACTTGGTGACTGAGCATATTTCAGTTGCAGGAACACAATAGAAAGAGGCTACAGATACTGCCTGAGATGCAATTCAGCAAATATTTTCTGTTATCACTATAAGTGATAGTTACACTATTATGTCACAGTTTACAGTCTGTTGTGAAACCCTCTTTGAGAAGAGTGATGGAACATTCACCCACAGATTCAGAGAGATGAAAGGCCTTGCTGTTTCTCTAGGAGGTCTTATCTTGTTATTACAAATAAGTAAATCTGTCTATCTATCTATTTATGTATAGACTGGTTAACACCTAGATTGTAGAGCACTGCCTCACTGAGAAGCATTAAGAAATAGGGAAAAAAAGGCACAAACCAGCTGCTGGAGGGAGAAGAAAAGTCACTCTCACAAGGAACATCAGGTGATGTTCTGAAGACTTAAATGGAATAAAATCTATGGGAGACTATTATAGGGGCTTAAATTTCTCTTGTAAGGCTGGTTTAGGCCATAGAAACTAAAAGGTCTCCATTAGTAGTGATGTTATTGTGTTTTATGTTTTCCTCTTTAAGAGTAATCATTTAAGTAATCATTAGTACTTTTTCATTTTAATAAAAGAGAATAAATTGTCTCAATGACATCCACAGTCCATCTATTTGTGATGGTATTTGGTATTTCTAACCACCTTGTAATATAGTCATCCTGGTAATTCCAATACGCAACTTCCAAATGTGTGAGAGAGAACCAACCACGAACATGAAGATTTTCAGCTGGGATATCTGATTTGCAGGCATTAAATGAGTCTCCCTAGAATTCAGTGTATGATGAACCACCGTCTCCTCCTGTGAAAGACAAATGAAATGAACAAACTTTAAACACAAAATGAAAATAATTAGAAAAGAGTTTGGAATAGGAAGCAGAGCTGCCATATGGTAGTGTCTAAGACAGCATTTTTAGGTGTCTTAGCAGTGACTTCCTTCATACTGTGGAGTGAAAACTATGTGATTACAAAATGACTTGAGTATCACAAATATGTGCATATTGATTAGTTACAAAACAAGCTGGAACTGTCAAATGGAAGTCCTCTGATATGTGTCCATGGGGCTGATGAGTACAAAGTCTACCTGACACCTAAAAAACGTTAACACTCAAACTGAGACACCAATAACCCACTGGATCCACTAAATTCAGTTCAGATTGCCTTCACTCAGCCGTGCTGTGAAGACTCCAGAAACTGTCAGATGTCAGGAGTTTTCTGACATACTGCATATGTCACAGCACCCTGTATTCACATACTGCATAAAACTGTAATTTGGCAGTTGCAACTGATACAGCATCTTGTGAAGTGATACCTCTCTAGTCTTCCCTTCAGGATCCATCAGGTTGTTTACACTTTGTGCCTTTAGCCACAATTATCAGAAATGAGAGGGAGATGTGAGAAAGCATTCTAGAAAGTTTTTCTAGATTGGACTTTTGGCCTATGGTGCAGAATCTGAAGAGTTAGAAGAGAAACAGAAACTAGGCATACGAAAATAATTAGGTAAAAGAAAAATACTCAGTAAAGCTTTCTAGGATAGCTGAGAAGAATGTCTGCAAAGCTATGTGATGCCCTACAAGACTCTTTCAACTGCATTTCTAAGACTCTGCTACACCTCAGACAGAATACTAAGGATCATCTCCTCTTAGAACGAAAAGCTTCTTGCACAAAACAGATGAAGATTCACCTACCAAGGGGAACGCAGGAAAAAGAAATGAGAAGAACAGCATCACAAATAGATCCTTGTAGCAAGGATGTGGCAGCTAACTTTGGGCATGAGGAGAAGGCACATTCCAAAGTAGTGTACACTTCTCTCTCAATAGGAGGAATGACACTCTGGGCATCTCAGACATGGATGGTCCCAGCAGCAGCCCTTCAGAAAAGGTCTATAGAAGGATGATAGTGTAACCCTGCTACACTGAATAAAGTAATTCTGGCAAGGTGGTCCTTAAACTGGTGCATCCTCAATTCTGAAAAGAAACTGCTGTCTAGCAGGGTAACTGAGCACCAAGGGTCCAAACCTCATGGAGTCATGAAAGTCACATTGAAAACATTTTCCAGTATCTCGAGTGTGATGTTGACTAGTGGCAAGGCTACGGTTGACCTATTTTTCCAGACAATTTAGGAAGAGAAAAGGCTGTTGGAAAATGGGTCGAGATCAGGATCCCTGGTACCCAGCAGTGGACAGAACAGTGGCATTGTAGATCTGATCTTAGACAGCTGTTCAGTTTGGCTCTCTGTTCTCCAGGATGTGCAAACAACCAGCACAGTCTGTTGTAACATACTGAGAAAAGACTCAAGTGACACGTCCTTCCAGATCACTTTTGATGTCAATTAGTCATTACTCTGGACTGTCAACTGAAAGTATTTTAGTTCATATTTAAAAAAGAAAACAACGAAGTTCCACACCCTAGCAACTTTCAAAATAACAATTTATTTAGAAGTGCAGTTTTGGGGCACAGGGAGAGCTATGGACAGAGCTCAGAGCAAATTTAGTTCAGGCTAATTGAATTCTCCAATAGTGGCCAGATTTGCTAGAAGAAAAAGAAACAGGAACAGGAACAGCACCAGCTAGGGTCTATGTTTTTTTCAGAATATCAATTTAGATATATAATCACATGTTGCAGTTAGCTTTTTCTTGCATTGATCACTTACTGCTTCCCAATGTTTAAAGAATATTTGGTATAATCACAGCTATTAAATGGGCAAGAAATTATGTAATTTTATTGTACTCAGTTACACAGTAAAAGGAAATGATTTAGTAACTTGATATTACTTATATTATTATATTATTATTTATATATTATTTATATAAAGATTAAAAAAACACAGCGTAAAAAGTTAAAGTGTATTAAAAAATACACAAAACTGCAAGAGGTAACTCCAGATCTGATAGCAGTCATCTGCAGCAACTTTTTCATTTCTTCTATTTCATACAAAAAATAAATCAGTTAAGCAGAGCATGAAATAAGTTTGGGAAATGTTTGCTTAAAATTGACGCAGAATGAGCTTTATCAGTAAAGTTAACGAATTAAAAAAATAAGTAACTACATGTTCTAATGCTCATGGCTCTCTCAGTAACTGAATTAGACAACCACCATTTTCTCTGATTGCATTTAAAAGACCACCTATAAATAAAGAACCCAATTTACTCAGAGCTAAATGTCCTTACTGCTTTAATTTTTTAAGCATTTAAATCAGACACTTACCCCTGTGAATAGTTGCAAATAAAATTTGCTGCATTTGGTATTCCTGCAACTTTCTTACAAAAAGTAACAGCGCAACCAATTTTATATGAATAGTCCAAAACAACCTAAAAAGAAACAGTTTTAAAATGAATTAAAAAGTACACTCAGTGGTTACTTAGCCTAATGGCTAGAAAGTTTCTGTAATTTTCCTACATATTAATCCTACTTATTATTTTCATTTTGCAACATCTGATTTATTTATCCATTAAAAAAAAAAAAGTCAACGAGCTTTTTAAGATTAACTTTGAAATAGTCACACCTCAAGTGACTTATGCTGCAAGTTTCCAGAACCTTTTCCAGAACCATTTCAGCGAGAGTCCCTGACATTAAGATCATGGGGTAAATTTCAAGGAACAAAAAGGAAATGAGTGGCAACCACCCAACGGCTCCTTTAAATAATTTCAACATTCATAACTCAGGACTGCAAGAAGGGCTTCTCCTGGGTGTTAGAAATGGTCTGGCTGATTCCTAGTGTAAAAATTAAGTCTGAAAGCTTTAGCACTGCACATTTTCAGGCTAACCAGTCTTGTGTGCCATACTTAAGGGGAGATGGTGTACTGTCACTTACAGTTGGTGCATTCTTTGCTTTTCCTTGGAGATTCTTCCTAAGCTTTCTGCATGTGACTAACCCAGCTGTACTGAATTCAAGTAAAAAAGTTTAACTATAGGCCTAGAACATCTGGATGATCATACATTTCATACATTTCACAAGTGGAAAACTTAACGACATAGTGAGTGTTGCCTGCTTTAGTCGAGAGATGGCGTCCCTGCCCATGAGAGGGAGGTTGGATTCAATGATCTCTAAGGTCCCTTCCAGCCTAGGCCATTCTATGATTCTATGATTCCTCTCTGTATCTCCCCAGCATGAAGAGCATGGGTCTCAGACTGAAAAATCAATTGGAACATCCCCAGAATCACAGAACGGAATCATTGAATGGCCTAGGCTGGAAGGGACCTTAAAGATCATCTAGTGCAACCTCCCTGTTATGGGCAGGGACGCCACCTCTCGACTAGACCAGGTGACACATGGTGACCGAGCGGGAAGTTCTGTCTCTTCAACTGTAACTGCAAGAAGCAGTTATATCCAGCAGATGGAACCTTTCTTAGAAATGAATCTTAAAGTTTAATGTGGTGTTACTCAAATTCTTGATTAAGGACTAAGCATTTCAGGGGTCTTTAAGTAACAGTGTCACATGTCTTCTGGAGATTTCCACCATTTTGAGATTTCTGCATCATGGTTCTCTTAGCAGGTCTACGCAGCCTACCTAAGATTTAAGATTTGTAAATTTTACCCATTTTCAGTTTTTTGCCTTCAAGACCATGACGGCTGCTGGAGGATGTAGAGACTTCATTTATCAATTCTGAAGAACTATGTACTTTTACATATTTCCAAGCATGTACTCAGCTTGGTTCTTCCAGTAATCCACTTCCTTTATAACCCCGCCTGAAATACTGCTGTTAACTATGTGTAACAAGAAAGAAGCAAGCAATCCTAACTGGGGAAAGAAAGCTTAGAAGTGAACACCACTTGCCTGAAATACTGCTGTTAACTATGTGTACCAAGAAAGAAGCAAGCAATCCTAATTGGGGAAAGAAAGCTTAGAAGTGAACACCACTCCCAAGAGAAATGTGCAGAAATCTCCAGAATTCTATGTAGACAAAGTTCAACAGCGAATTTTAAAATTCTACGAAGTACCTTGTTGCATGATTTTCTATAACTAATTGCGCCAAAGAGAAAAAGAAAAATGCCCTCTTGACATGTTGTTTAGTTCTAATCTTCTGCCTAATTTCTAATTCTGGCCAAGTTCTAACCTTTACTGCCTTGTTAAACAGAAAGAAAAAAAAAAAATCCTCCAGCCTTGCTTCTGAGTTTGTTACAGACAGAACCAGGGGCAGGAAACAAGAATTAACACTTGAGGAGAAATATGACAAAAGACATACAAAGAGGTGCAAAAAGTCCCAAACAAGTATTTTGTGAATTATTCTGGAAACTTGGAGTTATTTTCATTTCACAATCCAAAGTCCACTGAAAAAGAACCTCATAGCTATTGCTGTGTCCTGTAACATTCACCGTAAGAATACTGTATAGTATTTTCATCTCTAATTTCCACAGAGAGCAGTCTAAGCATCTTTAAATACCGAGATAAGAAATTAATGAGTCACTTTTACTAGTTAAGATCTGCCTTGATACTAAAATTATCTTCCGTTTTAGATTTGTGAAATATTACGTTTGGTCATAGATGAAACTAATTCTACTGCAAAGCTTGTTTTTCAAACGTGGAGATTAATAAACGCATTTAAAATAGAAAACATTTAAAGAAAAACTCCACTTTCTTAGCAGAATTAAGTTTGTCAGAACTACCACTGAGAAATCAGAAATGTATCATATATTGCCTCTTTTGTTGTTGATGCTCTTTTTTCCTCTTTCAGATTTGTCAAGGAACCTGTTTACTTCAGCTAGATTTTCTCCTACTAAAATTTCTACTTTCTTCTGCGATTGCTCATTATTATTTTGAACAGCATCTCCAAACTTAGAGAATTCAGAACTGCATGGCTTTGCAGCTAGAGAACTTGAAATGACTGTTTACAAAGTTCATGTACTGCTGACACTATGAAACGAGGAGTAAGGTCAATACTGTTGACAAGAAGAATGGATGATTATACACAACCATCAGCTGAACCAGCACAGAGGCAACCAGCAGTACAGCCATTGCTTGAGATTACAGAAGACAGTTAAGCCATCTGCGAAACATATATACAACCATACATATAACTCTGTATTATTAACAGCCCCTACTGACTCATCTGGCAGGCACTATAGAGAATGTTTTACCAAAGGTAACTCTCACCTGAATGTAATGACCGCAAACCTTAGTGCATTTCTGCACTGCAAAAGTATAGAATTTGACCTCATCATACCACGATTTAACAGCATCACCAACACTGAACAGGTGATGCCTTCAAATCCAAATATTCTCTCCAACAGATGTGAAATTCTGATGGCACTGATGTTTCTTATCTAAGTGTATGTTACGTTTAAAAATGCATTTATTCGCCCATGCCTTTGCAGTCCTTGCCAAAGCTGCATCCCAAGTCCGCAAAACATGAAAGGTGAAATAGTTGTGCAATATTAAGTTACAACTGAATCTTAATCAGATAAAACCAGTCAGGCAAAAAAGTACAGATAGGTATCACACAGTGGAGTTTCCAAAAGAAATATTTTGCCTTATTCAGTCACGTACTCGTGTTTTGTTTTCATTGACTTTTCTTGTTGAGGCACAGAAATACTAACTGCTTTCATTAGATGAGTTTTCTCCTACTTCATTGCTGAAAATTAATTTTGTGAGAGCACTTGATAGCAATTGAAAAAATGTCTGAAATGCACTTTTTATCTCCAGATAAGAAATCACTGTCACATTAAACACAAAATGTTTTTTTGGTGAACAGGTCATTAAGGATTTCTACTATGTACATACAAATTAACTGAAAAATGCACAGATTCAGATGTATAATTATTTATTCTTGTTAAGAGCCTCCAAAACCAAACCTTACTCCTCACAAAGCAAAGCTTTAAATGCATATTGCAGCATTTTACACAGACAGATTTATTAAGTAAGCACGCCAATGTTTGGCCAGTAACTCATTCTGTTACGTCGCTCTTCTCTGCAGTCTGTCACCGTTAGCACAATTTCTGATTCCTGAAGATGAATGACCTTTGGTATGTGTTTTCCAGTCATGATTGTTTTTCAGCAAGTTTCTTCTATCATTGAAGTAACTATTTTTATTTCTTACATAAAAGATCCTGTTCTTTATTACCTATGTTTACTGGTGTTCATACATTTCAGTTCACTCCTACTGTCTATGTGCATCTTACAGTAACTCCACTGCCTGCTGATACTGTTTCCTCTCTAAGGCCTTTAGCTTTTCACAATCATATTTCTATCTGCATACCTTTATTTATAATTTTCCTGTTCCTGAACACTAAACCTGGGTGCAGCGTCTTTCACAAGCTTCTTCAGTTCCAAGGTTATATCCATTTATTTGCCATCCTGGCTTCAAACCCACCCAAGCAAATGGCATGCTTTGCCATTAGTATCCGACAATGTGCATGTTCCCAAGCCTTCCCCAGGGTACTTGCCCTGCAGCTCCTCACTACATTCTCCTCTTGTGGTATGAAGTTGTCACATCCCGCCCAGGAAAGGGAGGTACTAGTGACTTTGATTCGTAATTAACCAAGGGAGTGGACAACGGTGAGACAAGTCTTAAGGTCCATACACAAACCTTTATTAATTTCTCACTACATACAGAGCGGACTCATGATAATTGGTTTTAGTCAAAATGACACATGAAGTCAGGCAATATATTATGATTTACTAATAAACAGGAAAAGGCTAGGTATACAACAAACTACAGCAAGTTGCGGTTTACTTAATGATAACAAGGGGAAAAGGCATGTAACAACTTATAACAGGCAGTATTATACTTAATGATTACAAGAAAGGAACTAAGTGTAAACTAAGGAAGTAGTATGATAAGCCTTGTGAGAAGGGGGAAAGAACAGGGGGGGAGAGAAAGAGAGAGAGAGATCACTAGTCCAGGCTCCCGTGTTGGTCCAGCCAATGCCCATGCTTCTTCGACTTTCTTCTTCTTCATTCTTCTTCTTTCTTCTACACCTTTTCTTCTCTCAATTTATACAGACTTTAACTATATTTAGATGTACAGTATGTCTGGTAGAGATACACACTCTTCCTATATGTGGATGTATAGTATGTTTGGTAGGAAAAAAGGGTTTGTCTTTGTTTACAATTGCCTTACCTCCATGGGATGTATGCTACAAGGCAGGGTCATCCTGCCTTCATAGGACTCGTTCCCTTGTGTGCGACTGCATCAAGGCTGTTTGAGGCATCTGTTTCCTTGGTCTTAACAGATTCCTGCCCCATACATCATTTGGCCCTCATCAGTCCACCACAGAAGTGGACTAAACATCAAACATCTGCTTTTTCATCCTCTTCTTCAGTTTTGTTTAACACTTGCCAGCAAAAAATTTCAAGAGACATTTGTTTTGGCTGCAACAAGCAAAGATTATTCCTTGTCACCAGAAACCCTCTTCAGTCCTGATATTCCAGCCCATGTCCTGACAGAGAACCGACGAACTCTTCTGGATCAGTCCTGCTGCTGTTTCTTCTTCGGGAAAAGTCCGTTGGGATGAAACGTGAGCGCTCCAGCCGGCCTGTGTTACAGCACCCGCATAGTGCGCCCCTGTTGTTTCCAGACTCATCTGTCTACAACTGACTCAACTCACTACAACATTTCCTATCAAATAAATGAGATGATACCTGAACACACAGGAGCAATGCCATCCCTGTCACCTCATCCAAGTGCCACCAAGCGACCCCTGCCCCACCACCCCAACTCTCACCCCGGTGGGGCTTCGGAGCCACCCGTGTGTCCCTGGGCCTGTCCCTACCACGTACCGCATGTTGCTGGCGGGCGGCTGGATGCCGGCGTGCAGCTTGTTGTGGATGCGCACGCAGCCCTT